TAAATATATATAGAGAAACCTCATTCATGAATTGTCAAGAGGTCACTACTTCTCAAAACAAATTCAACACAGTCCTAATCGAGATCACATATAGGCTGTTTCTTTTGAAATTAAGAAGAGTCTGATTTTTTAAAAATGGAAACAAAGATTTTATTACATGATGCAAAGAAATACTGAAAACCAAGAGCAAGGTTGGAGAAATTGTTATAGGACAGAGTTCGTAAAAAAAATCACCAACACCACTTTAAGAAAAGTAGCAAGGTAAATTTTAATTTTCGACCGGCCCGGCTGTCTATCTCGGGAGTAGAAGCAGCTCTGATGATTGTCAGGTCAGAGTTTTTATAGAATTACAGAATTATTATTAAAACAGGACATTTGTGAACCAATCAGGTTTGTACAACATAGCAGAATTTTGACTCTATTAATCAACAGCCAGTCATTATACAGACAAGTGATACAGTCATATAACTTGGCAATCAACTTTGTAATTTTAAAATTAGTCAACGTCCTAGCCATAACAAGTACAGTAAGAAAGCTGAAATCAGCAGTTACCGGGTGGTCAGACAATAACAGGATAACAAGGTGGTCTTATGCCCTGTGTCAAGGTGACCCAAGATAGCAAGCAGATTACAGAAGCGAAAACAAGCTGGTTAGCCAGATGTATAATGTCTGGAATTAGCACATTCCATGATTCATGGCTAGGGCAATTTTCCAAGGCCCAAGGTTGCCCCCCTTTTCCTTTTGGTGTGGAGCGAAGTTGCTGCTAAAATGGCTCTGAACAAAATGGAGTAACTTGGGGAAGTTTGCTGAGCCAGTTCAAACTTACATTTCCTGACTTCAAAACTGATTATAAAACTAATCTAAAGACTTCTTATTTGCAGGAGCCAGGAAAATGGAAATGAACCTTGGGGCTATAGGGGAAGAAGGAGCTCTAAACAGGAGGATAGTAGGAGACAGGTGTCATTAAGGAGGAAATGGGTGAAGAAGTAAGTGTGGGTTATAGAGGGGAAGTGAGAGGAGAGGTAAATAATGCTTAGATGGACTGCTTGATTTTTGATCTACAGGACTGCAAAACAATAGGGTTGTGTTTTAAACCACTTGTTCTGGCAATGCGTACAAAATGAATTCAATCATTATTTTCTTTTTTTAATATTTTTTTTTATTTTATGTATGTGAGTGTATTGCCTGAATGTATACAAATGCATCTATGCTGTGCAATGCCCACAGAGGTCAGAAGAGGGCATTAGATCCCCTGGAACTGGAGTTATGGATAGTTGTTAGCTGCCATGTGGGTGCTGGGAACCCAACCTTGGTCCTCTGAAAGAGCAGCCATTGCTCTTAACTGCTCCAGCCCCCATCAACTATTATTTTCAACTCCTTTATAGTCTTATCTTGGTTTGGTTTAGTTTGTTAGACAGTGTCCTAGTTAGCTTCAGCAGTCAACCTGACACAGCCCAGAGTTTTCTGAGGTAAGCTCAATTGGGGGATTGCCTAGATCAGACTGTCTGTGAGGAATTGTCTTGATTAATGATTGATATGCGAGGCCCAGCCCACTGTGGGCTGCACCATCCCTAGGCAGCCTAGGGCCTGCCTAGGCTGTATAAGAAAGCAAGGGGAGCCTGAGCTACTGGCTTCCTCCATAGTTTCTTCTCCAGGTTCCTGCCTTGAGTTTCTGCCCTGACTTCCCTCATTGATGGACTATACCTGGAAGTGTAAACTGAAATAAACCCTTTCCTCACCCAAGTTGTTTTCGGTCATGGTGTTTATCATAGCAACAGAGAAGCAAACTAGAACAGAGTAGTCTATGTAACCCAGGCTGGGTTTGACTTTAATCCCCCTGCCTCAGCCTTTCAAGAGCTAGGGTTCCAGGTATGCATGACCACCTGTGACCATTGTAGTCTACCTTTATTTATTTTTAAGATCTATTTATTTTTATTTTATGTGTATGAGTATTCCCTGCATGTATGTATGTATACCATGTGCAGGCCTGGTGCCTGTATAGGTCAGAAGAGAGCACAAGATCCTCCAGAACTGGAGTTATAGACCATTGTGAGGTACTATGTGGGTACTGGGAACCAAATCTTGGCCCTCTGCAAGAGCAGCAAGAGTTCTTAAGTACTGAGCCATCTCTCCAGCTTTTTAACTTAGAAACTATCAGGAACAGGGACTGGAGAGATGAGTCAGCAGTTAAGAGTGCACATTGCTCTTGCAGGGGACCCAAGTTTGATTCCCAGTATCTATATCAGGTAGCTCACAATTGCCCACATCTCCAGCTCCAGGAGATCTGATGTCTTGGACCCCTGCAAGCACTGTACTCATGCAAACACACATACATGGGAGTGCATGCACATGCGCACACACACAATTTTTTAAAAAATATATTAAGAACAATTTTCCCATGTCACTGAATTTTCTTCCACAGTACCATTTTAGGTGGCCCCACAGAATTCAATTATTTGTGATGGCTCTATGAGTGTGTGATTAGCTTCTTGTAGTTTTCATTGTGAATAATGGAAGTGATTTTTCTTCTTCTCTAGGTATATTCGCACACGTCTTTAGTCAATTCCTTAGGAAGTACTGGGTGAGAGCACGCTGGTCTTCCTCAGTAAATGTGTAATTAGCAGACATTTATTTCACAACCCGAACCTTGCAGAGTATAGAAGAGAGGAATCAGTTTCCCTCCTTTGACAATTCAACGGGCAAAATCTTTACCTTTCACCTTGGTTTCCTCAGTTGTTCAATGGAAAAGGGAGGCCTGCCTTGTGCTCAGTAGATCCTCTGCCAGGATCACCCTGCAGATGAAGATGGAACAGCTCCATAGTCCAGCAGTCACTAAGTGTACATTTGAACTTGGCCTTGCTTACAGGCCTCTGATGGCTATGAGATTCACTGATAAAAAGGCTTCTTGACTGACTCTGAGGCCACATTCCCAATAAACCCATGTTAAATTGAAAATGGCATAATTCAAAAATGCATTTAAATACACCTAACTCACCATATGTTCTATTCTATTGCTGTGATAAAAACACTAACCAAAACCAACTTGGGGAGTAAAGGGCTTATTTGTCTTACAGCTCACAATCCATCAAAGGAAACCAAGGCAAGAACTCAGGACAGGAACCTGGAGCACAGACCATGGAGGATAGCTGCTTATTGGCTTACTTCTCTGGCCTGTGCTCAGCCTGCTTTCTCATACAACACAGAACCACCTGCCTAGGGATGGCACCGCCCACAGTGGACTGGACCCTCCCACATCACTCAACAATTAAGAAAATACCCCATAGACATGGCTATGGGCCAATCCAATGAAGCTAGTTCCTCAATTGAGGTTCCTTTTACCCAGGTGTGTCAAGTTGACAACTGAAGCTATCCAGCACACTATGTATCTCAATTTATCATAGCCTACCTAAAATGTGCTCAGATTACTCATATTAGCCTCCAAGGGGGCTGATTCCTACAACACCAAGCCTATGTTATACGTGGTAACCATGCAAGTTCTAGGCCAACCAGGAGCTGTGGCTTGCTACCATGCCCAGTGTGGAAAGAAGATTGGACCACATATCACTAGCCCAGCAAGGGGTCAAAATTCAAGATAAGGTTTCTATGGAGTGCACATCACTTTCAAAGCATCATGAAGTCAAACCTTAGTAAGTGAAATCCCTATGAGCCAAGAACCATCTATTTGTGTGTCACCAGCCTGTTCCAACCTCTATGAATTTTGCCTCCCCTCTACTCAATGGCTTTCCCATTGAGATATAGGTTTTCGTTTGATCTAGGTTTTGAGAACAAGCTTAGGATACAACCGTTCCTTCAGACCAAAGTTTGACATGTGACTTCTAAAACCCTGCATGAAATTTCTCCCCCAATATGTGGATTTCAGTTTGTAACCAATTGCTTCAAAACGTCTCAGGTCTCAGGCTGATGTGACTTCCCAGGAGCTCATGGAAATAGCTCATAACTTATAGAACAATAGCCTGAGTCACTAATTTCTCAAGATACTCTTCAATGGGGAAGTTTGCTTCATACCTCTAGAATTACAGATAGTAATAATGAAACCAGTAACTTCTTATTACAAATGCAGTGAGAGATGAAGAGAGTTCCCCAGGATGCACTCCAGGGCTTCGAAGGGCAATTGAGTGGAACTGCTTCAGAGACACTGGACAATGTTCACAGGCACACACTTCTAGCCCCAGTTCTAGAGAAGGATGATCCATCCTGGGATGGTCCCTGCCAGGTCCCTGGGAACTTGGCATTTCTTCAAAGCTCTCCCTGAGATTCCATTTTTCCCTTGGTGACATTGCTATGCTGCCTTTCCTAAGGGCAAGAATGCTGTCACAGTACGTGGAAATATCATCACCATGTGTACTGGATAGCTTTAAAATGTCAACTTAACACACCTGGGTTGAGGGAGCCTCAATTGGAGAATTGCCTCTAGTGGACTGGCCTGTGGCCATGTCTGTGTGGCATCTTCTTGATTGTTGAGTGATGTGGGAGGGCCCAGCCCACTGTGGGTGGTGCCACCCCTGGGCAGGTGGGCCTGTGTTTCATAAGAAAGCAGCCTGAGCAAGGGCCATGGGAACAAGCCAGTAAGCTGCATTCCTCCATGGCCTGTGTTCCAGCTCCTGCCTCCAGGTTCCTGCCCTGAGTTCCTACCTTGGGCTCCCTGATGAACTGTGACCCAGGAGATGTAAGATAAAACAAACCCTTTCCTCCCCAAGTTGGTATTGGCCAGAGTATTTTGTTACAGCATTGGAAAAACAAGCTAGAACACCATGATTCTACAGTCAGCAGCAACAGATGGGCTGGGAGAGAAGGACCTCCAAGTCTAGCCTGTCTCCCCACAGTGGTGCCCCATGTGACACCCTGGAACTGAGAGTACCCAGTTGTGATTTCCATTTCTTTAGCCTGGGCCTGAAATTTCCCTCGTTTTTAAGTTAATCATGGTCTCTAAATCCCTCGAAAACCTTTTCACACACTGTAATGTATGTCTGTGTTTCCAGAGGGAAGAAAGATGCCATTGTGGTAGACCCCTCCAGCAACATCTACTACCGCTGGCTGACTGTCATCGCCCTGCCAGTCTTCTATAACTGGTGTCTGCTTGTGTGCAGGTTAGCATGGGGAAAGGCACAGCAGTTTAGAGGCCAGAGTGGAAGGACAGGAGGGGTAGGGGCAACTAGTCTGAATAGAGAAAGTCTCTCTTCCTAGTCACCATACAGATCCTCTGCCTCCAGTTCTCCATCTATAAAATCAGACCATGTCACTGAGGACCCCAAGGATGCTCTGAACCATGGGGATAGGACTGAGCTTGAGATGGATGCTGGTTCTGCCACTCTGAGACCTCCATACTTGGGTTGCATGAAGAGGAGATAGGACTAATCATTGTTCTTCTGAGAGGGCAGGGGATGTTTCTGAGTGAGCATGCTATAGGGTAGGGATGTAGGAAAAGCACTGTTCTCTGAGGGTAAGTTATGGGTTTTTGGGTCTCCTAAGCAGAGGCTTTGGAACACTTCTAAACATGCTGCCAGGCACAGATGCAGAGGATGGGCTCCTTCTGGGTAGGCAACGGGGCTTGGGGCATTTCTGAGAAAGTCTGCAGTGTGCAAGCTGCTGAGCAGAGCTAACTACATTGCTGTTCTCTCAAGGTAAAGAAGGGGTTATCTATCTGTTTGAGCTCTATCATCAGTCTTCACTCTACATAACCAGTTCCCCAGCTCTTCTTCTTAGAAGCTCCATGATGATAGACAGCATAGCTTCTCTGAGCCTGAGGTGATTCTGCCACATATCCACATTTACTGGATAAAATGAGCCCAGTCCACAACACAGGGTGGGGAAGGGTCCATGCTCTAACACTCAGCTCTCATGTCACGTCTCACATTTGACTTGTTTAGGGCCTGTTTTGATGAACTTCAGTCTGAGCATCTGATGCTATGGCTGGTCCTGGACTACTCAGCAGATGTCCTCTATGTTGTGGACATGATGGTGCGAGCCCGAACAGGTGAGTGTGCTAACCTCAAGCTGTGTGTTGGAGGTCTTCTAAGTTTTGAAGTGTGGAAGCAGGGGTGGCCGGTCTGTCATGGCTGAGTTCTGAACATGGACTCAGGGCCTTGGTTTCTAAATCAGTGAGGTGGTGCTAACAAGCCTTGCTGCTTGTCATGTACTGGTTTTAACAAGAAAGTAAGATGTACTTGAAATGCTTTGTGGACCCTGAAGCTGCATGTGGTTTACTGCTGTAATTTGGTTTGTTTACATTGACCACAAGGGTACAGATTTTGTTCCAAAATCTTAGAAGCAATAAGTAGGGCCTCCACTAGCTTCGAGCATATATTGGTGCACATCAGAAAAAAATCTCTGAAAGCTAATCATCCTCTTCAGTTCTTTACATGTTAAAACTCCCCTAAGGAGCTGGAGAGATGGCTTAGTGGTTAAGAGTGTTTGATGCTTTTCCAGAGGATGGGAGTTAGGTTTCTAGCACTCAAAGTGGGCAGCTTACAACTGCATATAACCAGCTCCAGACAATCTGATGCTCTCTTCTGGCCTCTGCAGGCACTGCACTCAAGTGGGTTCGATTCCCAGCACCCACATGGAGGCTAGCAACCATCCCTAACTCCAGTTCCAGGGGATCAGATGCCCTCTTCTGACCTTCATGGGCATTTCACAACATAGGGGTGCACTTACATACACACAGGCAATACACTCATACACATAAAATAAAAATAATAAACAAAATATTTTTAAATGCCTGTACTGAACATGTTTGGGCTTTTTACCTTGTCCCTATTCCTACACAGCACATATTACATCTTAGCATTGTTGTTTTAGGTAGTATGAGAAATCTACAGAAAGGGCTGGTGTGATGGCTCAGTGGTTACAAGTGTGCACTGCTCTTGCAGAGAACCCAAATTCAATCCCCAATACCCACGTCAAGCAGTTCACACTCACAAACTACCTATAACCCCAACTCCAGGGGGACCCAATGCTTCTGGCCTCTGGGCACCTGCATTTGCATGCACATGCACACATACACATAATTAAAATTAAAATTAATCTTAAAAAAGAAATCTAGAGAGGATTTAGAATAAGAGGATATGTGTAGGCTATATGTAAATATGACATCATATTACGAAAGATGCTTAAGCATCTAAGGATTTTGGTTTTCTTGGGAGAAAAGGTGGTAAGGGGGTCCTGGAATGAGTTCCCTGTGATTCCAGAAGGACAATTGTTTTTATTTTTATTTTATTGTATGAGTGTATTGCCTGTATGTGTGTAAATGCCTGCAGAGGTCAGAAGAGTGGGGGGTGGATTTCCCTGGAACTGGAGTTACAGACCGTTGTTAGCCACCACCTGGGTGCTCGGAATTGAACCCGGGTTCTCTGCAAGAGTAGTCAGTACTCTTAACCACTGAGCCATCTCTCCAGTCCCAAGAAGGACAATTGTTTAAGAAGACTGGTTTGAGAGGAATATGGGGCTGTTATATAAAATATGTAACAGAAACCTGATTTTCATTTTTAGCAAAAGAACATTCTTACCCTCAGTCTGGCCTTGAAGTCTGGCCTTAGGCCAGCAGTGGCAGCACTAGTGCTTGTAGAAGTGCCCAGGGCGCAAGCTCTGGGAATCAAGCCCAGCACTATTTCACTGAACATCCATTATGTTATTCTATTTTTGTGCATGGTTGAAAATGTACGTAAATAAAAATAAATTTTAGAAAAGATCTCCTTAGTTGATGAAGGCCATATGCTTCTTTACAAATGACTCTCCTTCGAGCCCCCTGGATGACAGTAATGTTCAGGAACACTTCTGAACTCCTGGGTTTCAAATGGTGGGTCATGCCCCATCAGTAACTGGAGAGATCAGTTCGGTAGGCTGTAACTTGCATTTTTAGATTTTTATGATTAATTTTTTCAAGCACATACAAAAGCAGACAGAACAGTATCAGGAAGACACATGTACCTCACTGAGTTTCAGTAGTTAACTACTTAGACCTGCTTGGTGCATTGGTCCCAGTCTCATGTCCTTATCTTGCCTGAATGATTTTCAAACAAATCTCAGGTAATAGTTAGATAACTCTAATATCCATTTGACTTTTAAATTTTAATTTTCATTCTCTGCCATCACCTACTATTCAATCTATTTTGGTTTTTATATAAATTTATTTATTTTTATTTTTTATGTATGAGTGTTTTATGCCTACATGTGTGTAAGTGCACCCAATGTCATGCAGTGCCCATGGAGGACAGAAGTCATCGGACCCTGGAACTGGAGTTACAGATGGTTCTTAGCTGCCATGTGGGTACTGGGATTCGAACCTGGGTCTTCTGTAAGAACAGCCAGTGCTCTTAACTGCTGAACCATCTCTCTAGTCCCTATCCAATCTATGTTGAAAGTTACCCAATTGACCTATATATTTTTTAAACTGAATAGAGGACCAGGGATAGAGCTCAGTTATATAAAATTTGCCTAGCACATGTAGAAAAAAAGAAAAAATCAATAGAATAAAGATTCATAAAGAGCAAATATCAGAGAAAGATTTTAGCAGTAATGAGATGGTTGTTTGGAAATCATTTCTGTTCTGTGTGTGTTACTGTGTGTTGTGTAATCATGATATGCATATCTTTCTATAGCCATGGTAAAACTAAATTTCTTTTAAGTCCCCTTTTGTACCCTAGTGACCTCCTTTTTCTTCCTTAGGTTTCCTTGAGCAAGGCTTAATGGTAATGGATACAAAGAGACTGTGGAAACATTACACCAAGACTTTGCACTTCAAGCTAGATATCCTGTCTCTTGTCCCCACTGACCTGGCTTATTTAAAGTTGGGTATAAACTACCCAGAACTGAGATTCAATCGCCTACTGAAGTTTTCCCGACTTTTTGAATTCTTTGACCGTACAGAGACAAGGACCAACTACCCCAATGTGTTCAGGATAGGGAATTTGGTTTTGTACATCCTCATCATCATCCACTGGAATGCCTGCATCTACTTTGCCATTTCCAAGTTCATTGGTTTTGGGACAGACTCCTGGGTCTACCCAAACATCTCCAAGCCAGAGTATGGGCGCCTCTCCAGGAAGTATATTTACAGTCTCTATTGGTCCACCTTGACCCTGACCACCATTGGTGAGACCCCACCCCCAGTAAAAGACGAGGAGTATCTCTTTGTGGTCATAGACTTCCTGGTTGGCGTTCTGATCTTTGCCAGCATTGTGGGTAATGTGGGCTCCATGATCTCCAACATGAACGCTTCAAGAACAGAGTTCCAGGCCAAGATTGACTCTATTAAGCAGTACATGCAGTTCCGCAAGGTGACCAAGGACTTGGAGACACGGGTTATCCGGTGGTTTGACTATCTATGGGCTAACAGGAAGACAGTGGATGAAAAGGAAGTGCTCAAGAACCTCCCAGACAAGCTGAAGGCTGAGATTGCCATCAATGTGCACCTGGACACCCTGAAGAAGGTCCGCATCTTCCAGGACTGTGAGGCAGGACTGTTGGTGGAGCTAGTGCTAAAGCTCCGTCCCACTGTGTTTAGCCCTGGTGATTATATCTGCAGAAAGGGGGACATTGGGAGGGAAATGTATATCATCAAGGAGGGCAAGCTGGCTGTGGTAGCTGATGATGGGGTCACCCAGTTTGTGGTCCTCAGTGATGGAAGTTACTTTGGGGAGATCAGTATCTTAAACATAAAGGGGAGCAAGTCAGGGAACCGCAGAACAGCCAACATCAGGAGCATTGGCTACTCAGACCTGTTCTGCCTCTCCAAGGATGACTTGATGGAGGCCCTCACTGAATACCCAGATGCCAAGAAGGCTCTGGAGGAGAAGGGTAGGCAGATCCTGATGAAGGACAACCTGATTGATGAAGATCTGGTCAAGGCCGAGGCAGACCCCAGGGACATTGAGGAGAAGGTGGAGTACCTGGAGGCCTCCCTGGATACTCTGCAGACAAGGTTTGCAAGACTCCTGGCTGAGTACAGTGCTGCACAGATGAAGGTGAAACAGCGCCTCAGCCAGCTGGAGAGCCAGGTGAATGTGAGGAGACATGACTTCTCACCTGATGGGGAGATTTCCAAAGATGCCGTAAAGACAGAGTGAAAATCAAGTGGCTGTTTGCCTGCTGCCTCCCAGAGACAACTGTCAGTGCAACATGTCTATAGCTGCATGACACGGGACTTAGCTGGGGTTTCATCCTTTGTAAGTGGTGTGACTGCAGAGATAGCCTGTTTCCACATCTAAAAAAATCGGACTTGTGATGTTGACTGTCAACTCCAGTGAAGCACCAGGTTAGTGTGACGTCTACCCCCACAAAGAGCAGGGCTTTGGAACGTGTGAAGTCTCCTCAATAAAGTGTTTGAAAGTATGTGCCCAGGATTCCAATAGTTTAAAAAAATTATGTGGGTGCATGTGTGTTTGTGTGGAGGTATGTGCACATGAGTACAGGCGCCCACAGAGGCCAGAAGAGGTTGTTGGATCCCCTGGAGCTGGAGTTATGAGTGGTTATGAGCTATCCACTGTAGGTGCTGAGATCTGAACTCACAGCCCCTTCAGTATCTTTTTGAGATGAAGGTCTTGCTATGTTGCTTAGTCTGGTCTGCAACTCTTGAGCCCAGGTGATGATCCCACCTCAGTTTCCCAAGTAGCTGGGACCATATACATGCTCCACTGCTTCAAGTCCAATAGGTTTTTTATGAACCATAAGGAGATGCTTAAATTTTTTGACAAAGCTTTCTTATAAATGGAAGTTTATTTAATCTCCCTCCCTCAAATCACTCCACCATCATCTGATTGTGAAAACACAACAGGTTCTGGGGTTACAGATCAGCAGTAAAACACTTGCCCAGTGTATTCAAAGGCCCTGGCTTTAATCCCCAGTACCACCAGGAACACAACAGGAAGTTGCAAGTATAAGCTCGTAGCTCAAATCAACGTCACACCCGACATGATTCTGAGACCGGCATCTTCTTGCATATTCGCTGGGACCCTGGAAACCTTGTCTTTTTTTGTAACATGACACTTTGAGAAAAGCCACTCAATGGGAGATCCCTTCAAGCTAGAGAAGCAAATCTAGACTCCCTGCCATCTAGCCACTGTGACACCCATTAGGTTAACAGGACAGCATGTCTCATCTCTTCCTTCTCATTTGCCAAAGGATTCAAAGACAGCTTCCTTATCCTAGAAATCAGACCTTTGAGGAAGAGCTTCTGCTGCCCATCAGTGATACAATAGCTGGGAATTGATAGAGAATTCCTAGAAATTTAGCAAACAGATTTTGACAATATTTGAAGAGGAACATTGCATGGTGAGACCTGCGAGTCTCAAATGAAGACTGGAACCAGTTGTTACTACCGAGGTAGCCTGTTGCTGCTAGAGCCACATAACTTCCTGTAACCACCTGTCCGTGTTGAGGAAGAGCCCTTTAGATAAGAAGGTGGAGTGATGACAACTGAGATTTTCAGAAGCTGAGACCCACAGACCATGTCCTTGTAATCTGCTCCTTCATCCCTGAAGAAGCTTCAAGCCTCTTTGGAATGACATCTTAAGGCAAAAGTTCTCAGCTAGCTGAAAGCCTGCACATTGTAAAGCTCACATTTTTAATCTAGTCAACAGAACTCCATTAACATTTTTATATTTGGGTTCTGTGATTGTGAGTCATGACCTCGGTGTTCCATCCTTCACTTAAATACTGTTGGGAATTACAGTTGTCTTTCCTTCTTCCCTCCCCCCTTCATTTTTCCTCCTTTCCCCTCTCTTCCTTTCTTCCTTCTTTCCCTTTCTTTTCTCCTCTTCGTCTTTCTCTTGCTCTCCTCCTCTCCCTTCTTTCTTCTCATGAGACAAAATTCTCCCCCGCCCTTGTGTTGTTGTCTGGTCTGAAGTTATAATCCATAACTGAGTCTTAATGGAGTTCATACAGAAGGTACTCTATTTTCAGTTATGCATTTGAGTCTGTTCTTGTGGGTCACATAACTGTTTCCTGCCTGTCATTTGATGTTTAACTCTCTCAGATGGATTAGAGGGTCTACAAAAATGTCATAGATTCAATATCAGATCATCAGCAAGATGTAGCTAGCAATGTTTTCTTAAAATGAATATATTTTAAAGCCTTAACAATCATGCCTGCATTCATATTTACATATAACAAATAAAGACTGGATTAAAAACTGTTAATGACTCCTGATTCATTCAGCTCTTGTCATGAGGGAAGATTCAGCCCCAGGATATATTCCTAGAGCAATGGTTTCCCTGGAAAGAGCAGCTGCTGATGAACAAGGGATAGTGTCTGCTCAATGGGAAGAGACATGCACATCTGAAAGCAGGAGAGAGAATGTCTGGTGCACACAGAGACATGCACAAATGCTTAATGTAGACTTGGTTCTAATATCAACAAAAAATACCCCTAAATATCAGAATGCAAGGGCAAAGGACAAATGTAAACCGTGCTAGGTATTCCATCAAAGAGAATTTAGTAGAGGGAATTGAGTGCGTGGGCAGACTGACACAGCAAAAATGGAGGCTGAGGTTATTCAGAGAAGGTAATTACAAGTAGGAGCTGTCTACCCCCAGGACTAGAGCTAAAAGGAGAAGGGAGCTCAGAGGGGCTTCCCCAGCAGTTGTACCTCAGATCTTTGATGGTGGGGCGCTACTGGCTATTGCTGATAATTCACAAACTTGGAGAAGTCTGTAAACATAAGAATGTGGGCCATATTTAAGCAGCAGCATTGCCTCATCATAGGGTAGTTACACATATGAACCTCCAGCAGTGTGATAGCACACACAAGACCTGTGCAAACCCAAGCCAGACAAAATCCCGGCATGGATGGGGGAGATGGGCATGCTTGCTGAATTTTTATTACTGAATAGTATTGTATTATATGGCTATACCACTGCCTTTCTGTTCTCTGCCCATTGGATGGCATTACTGTTGCTTCTTGGTTTCTGTGACTATAAGTAAAGATTTTATGAATATTTGTAGTCACATGTTTTATGTGAATATACATTTTTAATTCTCTCAGATAAATACGTAAGGTTGACTTCAGGGAATGGGCTCACACCCAAGATCATTTGGGAAACACAAACTCGATAGGACTTTTTAAAAAAGGAAAAAAATAGAGAACATGAAGTCACAGGGGTTGGGGGGACTAGTAGGGTAGGAGTGGAGATGGAGGAGGGGGTCTGAATATTATCAAAACATATATTATGAAATTCTCAAAGAATCCATAAAAAAATTTAAAAAATATTTTATAGCTGGATGTGGTGGTGCACGCCTTTAATCCCAGAACTTGGGAGGCAGAGGAAGGTGAATCTCTGTGAGTTCAAGGCCAACTTGGCCTACATATCACGTTCTAGGCCACCTGGGGCTACAGGGAGACCCTGTCTCAAAAAAAGACCAAATTTTTTTTTGCTATTTTTATTTTATGTGCATGAGTGTTGCTTGCATGTATATAAGTACATCATGTTCATGCAATGCCCGTAGAGGTCAAAAGAGGGTGTCAGATCCCCTGGTACTGGAGTTACAGACAGTTGTTAGCTGCCATGTGGGTACTGGAAATTGAGTCCAGGTCCTCTGGAAGAACAACAAGTATTCTTAACCACTGAACCATCTCTTCAGCCTCCAAAGAAACATTTTTTAAAGAGTGGTTCTGGAGTCCACAAGGAAGCTGGGACCAGCTGCCTCCACCATATTAACCAGTGGTTGCTGCTCCTGCTGCTGGTGCTACTGGTGCTGGGGCTGGGATGCTATAGCCAGAACATGAGGCAAGCAACTAGAAGGAAGTCCCTTCTCTCCCTCTGCCTTCCGACTCCCTCAGTTGCCTCCTATGAAAGTTCTACAAGAGTGAGGACAGTGAGAAGGACTTTTAATTTCACTGACAGAATATCCACATACTTGAAGCCCTACCTTCCATGTACCTTGAACAGGTGGCAAAACTGAGTACCCTAAATAAATAATTCAGAAGCCAGGATCTTGGTTGTTTATTTATCTTAGAGAATTAAAAATGTATATTCACATAAAACTTGTGACTACAAATATTCACATTTTATTTATAATCACAGAAACCAAGAAGCAACCGTGATGCCACTCAACAGGTGGAGAACAGAAAAGCAGTGGCATATCCACTAGTATTCAGCAATAAAAATCAACAAGCCACTGTATTTATTCATGCCAAAAGGCTGTGTTGACATGACACTCTGGAACAGGTAAAAATTAAGGATAGAAAGAAGTTGATGGTTGTCAGAGGGTGGGGTAGGGTGAGTGGTTGCTTACAAAGGAGCCACACAAGGGCATTCCTAGTGTGATGTAATTGTTTTCTTATGGTATTGATGTGGTAGACACATGACTCTATGCATTGTCTGAATTCATATAACTATATGTCATAATGAGTAAACTTTAAGCTGGACATTGTGGCACATACTAGTAATCTCAGCACTTGGGAGGTAAGCGGCAGAAAGATCAGACGTTCAAACCTCAGCTACATAGGGCTACAGGAGATGCTATCTCAAAGAAAAAGAAACTTTGGAGGATTAAAAAAAATTAAATATCAACAAGGATGTGGGGGAATGTCAGCAAAGAAAGAAAATCCTAACAAACAAATCTGTATTACAAACATACGGCACAACATTAATGGAGAACATATGGTAAAACTATGGCTAAGGATCCTTTAAAATTATAAAGCATGACTAAAGACAAAGGAAGTGACATAAACTTATACTCTGCGAATTTCTTTAACATGGGGGTATTGGTAAATAATTCTGAAATTCCATATTTACAATGGATGGATGGATGGATGGATGGATGGATGGATGGTCACAATGGAAACCAAGCTTATCATAGAGGAAGAAATTACAAACAAGTAAGCAGATGTTTTCCTGTTGCTGACACAAAATGCCCTGACAAAAAGCAACTTAGGGGAAAAGAGTTTATTTCAGCTAACAATTCCAGATTACAGTCCATCACTGCAGGGAAGTCAAGGTAGGAACTTTAAACAGCTGTCATGTCACATCCACAGTCAAGAGCAGAGAGGAAGGAGTGCACACATGCTCACTTGCTTGCTTGCTTGTGCTCCACCTCTCCACTCTTACACAGTTCATAAGCCCAGGCCTAGAGAATGGTACCACCTTCCTTGGGCTGAATCTTCCCACTCCCTTAGCTCAACCAACCAAGAAAATCCCCAACAGATATGTCCATAGGCCAACACAGTGTAAATGATCTTTCATTGAGACTCTCCTCCCAGGTGATTCTAGGTTGTGGTAAATAGACCATTAAGGTCAAACATCACAGAGATGCAAGAACGAGCCCTTTTGTATATACAGACAGATACAGAAATAACTGAAAGTATATATATGTGCATGCATAGGTCTACACAGATA